CACATATCACCCCGAAAACCCTGTCAGCAAAAAAACAATCGTTTCACTTATATTCCGGGAGCCAACATGGAGCTATACGATGTGAAACGACACAAAGATGACACGTGTCACCCCGAAAACCGTGTGAACGAAACCAAGTGTTTCACCACTGTTCTGGGAGCCAGCATAGAGCCGTACGATGTGGAACGACACGTGGGTGACACGTGTCACACCGAAAAACGTGTGAGAAAAATCACGTGTCTCACTCGTATTCTGGTCGCCAGTATGGGGCATCACTGACTGAAACAACACGCGGGTGGCGCGTGTCACCCCGAAAGCCGTTTAAGAAAAAACACTTGCTTCACTCGCGCGCTGGACGCCACTATTCGGCCATGCAGTGTGAAACGACACGCGGGTGGCACGCGTCACAACGAAAACGGCGTGAGAAAAAACATAACTGCTCCACTCGTAGTCTGGACGCCAACACGGGGCCATACAGTGTGAAACAACACACGGGAGACGCGTGCCGCCCCGAAAACCGTGCGATAAAAAGCAATTGTTTCACTTGTATTCTGGGAGCCGACATGGGGCCACACACTGTGATATAACATACGGGTGACACGTGTCACCCCGAAAACCGTGTGAACAAAATCCAGTGGTTCCCCACTAATCTGGGAGTCCGCATGGAGCCGTACTATGTGGAACGACACATGGGTGACACGTGTCACACCGAACAACGTGTGAGAAAAATCACGTGTCTCACTCGTATTCTGGTCGCCAGTACGGGGCATCACTGACTGAAACAACACGCGGGTGACGCGTGTCACCCCGAAAGCCGTTTAGGACAAAACACTTGCTTCACTCGCGCGCTGGACGCCACTTTTCGGCCATGCAATGTGACACAACACGCGGGTGACACGCGTCACCACGAACACCGCGTAAGAAAAAAACACAACTGTTCCACTCGTATTCTTGACGCCAGCATGGGGCCATACAACGTGAAACAACACACGGGCGACGAGTGTCATCCCGAAAACCGTATGACCAAAACAAATGTTTCACTTGTATTCTGGGAACCTACAGCATACGGGTGAGACGTGTCACCCCAAACACCGTGTGAACGAAACCAAATGTTTCACCACTATTATGGGAGCCAACATGGAGCCGTACGATGGGGAACGACATATGGGTGACACGGGTCACCCCGAATACCGTGAGAAAAAATCACGTGGCTCACTCGTATTATGGTCGCCAGTACGGGGCCACACTGAATGAAACAACGCGCGGGTGGCGCGTGTCACCCCGAAAGCCGTTTGAGAAAAACGACTTGTTTCACTCGCGCGCTGGACGCCACTATTGGGCCATGCAATGAGACACAACACGCGGGTGACACGTATCACCACGAACACCGCGTGAGAAAAAAAACAAAACTGTTCCACTCGCATTCTGGACGACAACACGGGACCATACAATGTGAAACAACACACGGGTGACGCGTGTCACCCCGAAAACCGTGTGAACAAAACCAGCTGTCCCACCCGTATTCTGGACGCCAACATGGGGCCCTACAACGTGAAGCAACACATGGGCGACACGTGGCAGCCCGAAACCCGTGTGAGGAAAAAATGTGTTTCACTCGCATTCTGGGCGCCAACATTGGGCCAGACACTGCGAACCAACACACGCCTCACGATTGTCACCCAGAAAACCGCGAGACAACAACAAATAAATTCACTCGCCTTCTGGTCACCACCATGGGGCCATACCCTGTCAAACCACACACGGGTGACACGTGTCACCTCGAAAACCGTGTGAGAACAACCACTTGTTCCACTCGCGCGCTGGACGCCAACATGGGGCCATACATTGTGAAAGAACACGTGGGTGACACGTGCCACCTCGAACACCGTGCAAGAAAACAAACAAATGTTCCACTCGTATTCTGGACGCCACCATTGGGCCATAAAATGTGACACAACACACGGGTGACACGTGCCACCCCGAAAGCCGTGTAAGCAAAACCAATTGTTCCACGCGTATACTGGACGCCAGCATTGGACCATACAATGTGAAACAACAAACGCGTGACACGTGTCACCCCGAAAACTGTGTAAGACAAGCCAATTGTTTCACTCGCGTTCTGGACGCCAACATGGGGCCCCTCAATGTGAAACAACACGCAACTGGCACGCGTCACTCTGAAAACCATGTGGTTCACTCATATTCTGGGCGCCAACATGGGGCCATACAGTGTGAAACAATACACGGGCGACACGTGTCACCCCAACAACCGTGTGAGCAACACTAATTGTTTCACGCGTATTCTGGGTGACAACATGGGGCCATACAACATGAAGAACCACGCGGGTGACAAGTGTCACCCCGAAGACCGTGTAGGGGAAAAAACTGTCTCACTCGCATTCTGGACGCCAACATTGGGCCATACAATCCGAAACAACACACGGGTGACACGTGTCACCCCGAAAACCGTGCGACAATCACACAGTGTTTCACCTGCATTGTTGGCGGCAACATGGGGCCATACAACGTGAAACAACACACGGGTGGCACGTGTCACCCCGAAGACCGTGTGAGAAAACCCACATGTTCCACTCGTATTCTTGGCGCCAACATGGGGCTATACAGCGTGAAACAACACGCGGCCTACGTGGGGCCGTACAGCGTGGAGCAACACCCGAATGATACGTGTCACCCCGAACACCGTGTGAGAAAAAACAAATGTTTCACTTGTATCCTGTACACCAGCATGGGGACATACAATGCGAACCAACACGTGGGTGACACGTGTCACCCCGAAAACCGCGTGAAGAAAACAAACTGTTCCACTCGTACAATGTGAAACACACGGGTCATACAATGTGAACAACAAACGGGTGACACGTGTCACCCCGAAAACCGTGTGAGAAAAAATGTTTCACTCGTATTCTGGAAGCCAATATGGGGCCATACAATGCGATACAACACACGGGTGACACGTGTCACTCCGAAAGCCGTGCGAGAAAAACCAATTGGTTCACTCGCATTCTGGACGCCAACATGGGGTCATACAACGTGAAGCAGCACACGCGTGACACGTGTCATTCTGGGCGGCATCATAGGGCCATTAACGGTGAAACAACACACGGGTGACACGCGTCACCCCGGAGACCGTGTGAGAAAACCAAATTGTTCCACTCGTATTCTTGGCGTCAACATGGGGCCATCCACTGTGACACAACACACGGGTGACACGTGTTACCCGGAACACCGCACGAGACAAACCAATTGTTTCACGCGTATTCTGGGAGCCAACATGCAGCCACACGGTGCGGAATTACACACGGGTGACACGTGTCACCCCGAACAACGCACGAGACAAACCAATTGTTTCACGCGTATTCTGGGAGCCAACGTGGAGCCACACGGTGTGGAACGACACAAGGGTGACACGTGTCAACCCGAACACCGCGTGAGAAAAATCAGTTGTTTCATTTGCATTCTGGGAGCCAGCATGGAACCATACGATGTGGAACGACACAGTGGCGACACGTGTCACACCAAAAACCGCGTGAGCCAAACCCATTATCTCGAGCGAATTCTGTGAGCTAACACATGGAGCCAACCAATGGGAAACAACAAACGGGTGACACGTGCCACCTCGAACACAGTGTAGGACAAATCAATTGTTTCACGCGTATTCTGGACGCCAACATGGGGCTGTACAATGTGAATAAAGCACGCGGGTGACACGTGTCACCCCGAACACCGCGTGAGCAAAACCAGTTGTTTAACTCGTATTCGGCGTGCCCACATGGAGCCATAAAATGTGAAACGACACAATGGTGCTACATTTTACCCCGAAAACCACACGAGAAACATCAAGCGCGTCACTTGTATTCTGGAAGCCAACATGGGGCCATACAGCGTGGAGCAACACACGAATCATACGTGTCACCCCGAACACCGTGTGAGACACGCCAACTGTGTCACTTATATTCTGGGAGCCCGCATGGAGCCATATAAAGTGAAACGACACAAGGGTGACACGTATCACCCCGAAAGCCGTGTGAGAAAAAACCATCGTTTAACTTGCATTCTAGGAGCCAGCATGGAGCTATACAACGTGAAACGGCACACGGATAACACGTGTCACCCCGAAAACCGTGTGAACAAAACCATTTGTTCCACCTGTATTCTGGGAGCCAACAAGGGGCCGTACGATGTGGAACGACACACGGGTGTCACGTGTCACCCCGAAATCCGCGTGAGAAAAATCATGTGTCTCACTCGTATTTGTCGCCAGCATGGGGCCATAAGGTGTGAAACAACACGCGGGTGACACGTGTAACCCCGAACGCCGTTGAATAAAAATAGCCTGGCGAAGGACCCAACCATACGCAGTTGTGAATACCATCGTTGATGCACCGCATTCGGAGGAGCTCCCTGTAGGACCAGGCAACGTGTGAGGGTGTACCAAAATTTGTCTGGTGGGCGCATGCGAAAGCAACCACTAAGGCCGTCGGTGGAAACTTGTGAGGGGTGTGCCGGCATGGCCGTGGGTGACGCATGCGGGCGGTGGCACTGGGGCCTTCGGTGGAGCTCCCTATGGGGCCACGAAACATGTGAGCACGAAACATGTGAGGGGTATGTCGACATTGGTGTGCGTGACGCATGCGGACGGTGGCACTGGGGCCTTCGGTGGAGCTCCCTGTGGGGCCACGAAACGTGTGAGGGTGTGCCGGAATGGCCGTGGGTGACGTATGCGGGCGGTGGCACTGGGGCCTTCGGTGGAGCTCCGTAAGGGGCCACGAAACATGTGAATGGTATGTCGACATTGGTGTGCGTGACGCATGCGGACGGTGGCACTGGGGCTTTCGGTGGAGCTCCCTATGGAGCCACGAAGCGTGTGAGGGTGTGCCGAAATGGGTGCGTGACGCATGCGGGCGGTGGCACTGGGGCCTTCGGTGGAGCTCCCTGTGGGGCCACGAAACATGTGAGGGGTATGTCGACATTTTTTTTTTTTTGTGTTTCGAGAGCTCCTGCCTCTCACATATGATGCGCATGAGGCCACACCCCCAAAACTAGCAAGCTACGAAGTGAAACACGTGACCCTCGAGACAATCAGGGTCGTTGCAGCAGATGCGCCGCCACACGGTGAACATGTGTCGGCGGTGAGGATGCAGGAATGGCTCCGGCTGAGAAACAGGCGAACGACATGGAGTGGCGAATGGGGGACGAGCGGATCTGCGGGTGGGGGGGGAGGGCGAGGGGCATGCACTCAATGTCCGTCTGTTCTACCATCGGCCCCCATTCGGGTCGGGCGCAAGGGGGGGATAGCAAAGGGGGGGTTGAGAATCAGCTCACGTAGCTGATTTTCCCGGCGCCTCCCGGCGCTGGGAGGCGCCCATGTATCGAGGAATGGGCCCCTCGGCGAGGCCGAAATCAGCTGCATGCAGCAAATTTCGTAACCCCCCCTTTCCCAATCCCCCCCTTTCGCCCGGCCCGACCCATGGGCAAGTTGGCGGGACAGGCCGGAGGTCGCAGCATAAAAATGCAGAATGCGGCCGAGGCTGAGCGCAAAAGCGCCCGATAGCAGCGGGCAGAGCCTGGGGCGGGCCAGGTCGCCCCGGACTAAAAACTGCGGGAACGCAAGACCGCTGCCGACACGTACTATTGCAAGGGGGCGGTGCTGGCACATTGGGCGCCCGACTTATCCGGGATAACTCGGGTCCGGGGTAACTCGGGTTTGGATTCCCGAGAAAGGAACCCGAGTTAGCCCTGACCCGAGTTACCCCTGATGATTCGGGGCTCTGGACGCCCGAGATATCCGGGGTAACTCGGGTCCGGGGTAACTCGGGTTCGGAATCCTGAAAAACGAACCCGAGTTATCCCTGACCCGAGTTACCCCTGATGATTCGGGGCTCTGAGCACAGCCGATCAACCAACAACGCAGGAGCCATCACGATGTGCGACGCACCCTCACTCTGCGCAGCCTCGGGGCCTGGGGACTCCTGGCGCTCCCGAGGCGAGTTCTAGAGGTGCCGCCCGTGCGGGCGGATCGAAAATTCTGAAGCAGTAAACAGTAAGCTGTGCGTGCCGTGGTCGGGTGAAAAACCATCTGGCCCATGTGAGCGCACCGACTCATGATGCCTGCTTATTGGCGGGCTTTCTTAGGGTGCGCGCAGATGGGGCCGTTCTGGGGACCCAGAGCGGCCCAGAAAACTCATACTTGGAGCAGTCCTGGGCTGACTGATACCTTCATTGAAAAAAACAGCCCACGGCCTAAGAGGATCAGGATAGTGGAACGTTCGGCGCTGCGCATCGCGTCAGTGAGCGCGAGAGGAGGGCGCCGCTCAGATGCACCCAGCCTCGTTCGTTAGTCTGCCGACCAATAGCTAGAATCTGACCGACGGCTCTGCGGGGCTTCGCAAAACGTGCACCCCTGCGGTTTCGAGGAGTGCCGCGACAAGCCGCTCCCAGCGGTCGACGAGAACAGGACGCCGCACGAAGAGCACTGGCCGTTAACCATGGTCTCGCTTAGCCAGTCCGGCAGGCACTCCCTGCCACGGAGGCCGTGGCACACCTGCATCAGGCTGTGCAGGCATCCGTGGAAGGGGCAGCAGGTGCCCTCTGGGACCTCCGGGTTGTGGCAACTGAGGACCTCCAGCAACAAGGCCAAGATTGTGTCGTCAGGGGTCGGGACGTACTTCTGCGCGGCCGACCTGCTGTGCTTCTGAGCGGACGCGGGCTCCGGCAGAGTGGGCTGCTGCAAACGCGACGGTCGGTCCTGCAGCGCGCCCTCGAAGACCCAGCTGGCGTTGAAGGGTTCGCCGTCGAGGCTCGCCGGGTCGAGGCCCTGCCGCAGCAGGAGCTCGTCGAGCCAGGACGCGACGCCGCGGTGCACGCGCGAAATGCTCGGCCTCTGGCTGGGGTCGACGCTGCAGCACTCCTCCAGGACCGCCCGGAGCTCGGGTGGCGTGGGCCCATCTGGAGGCCACTCCATCGGCGGGAACTGCGACTTCCCCACCATCCTTGGGCGCCCGAGTTATCCGGGGTAACTCGGGTCCGGCGTAACTCGGGTTTGGATTCCCGAAAAAGGAACCCGAGTTAGCCCTGACCCGAGTTACCCCTGATGATTCGGGGCTCTGGACGCCCGAGTTATCCGGGGTAACTCGGGTCCGGGATAACTCGGGTTCGGACTCCCGAAAAACGAACCCGAGTTAGCCCTGACCCGAGTTACCCCTGATGATTCGGGGCTCTGACATCCTGACAATCTCCGGCTTCGCGATGCCCTGGAACGGGGGGGCGCCTGCGACCACGAAGAACGCCAGGCGGCCGAACGAATACACGTCAGCCGCGGTGCTCCCGGCCGACGACCGAGTCCGCAACAGCACCTCTAGAAGAAAAAACGCAATAAACATAAACTTTTGGCGCTCCGCGCGGATTTCTTGGATCTGCGCCGGACCCCCCTTCCCTGGCGCGCGGAACGCGCCAGGGGCGGCGCCGGAGGCGCCGCCGGGGGGGGAACAAGCGCGGATCCAAGAGATCCGCGGGGAGCGCGAAAAACATATGTTTATGACATTTGTTCTTCTTCGAACCTCCGGAGCCGCCCATCGCACCGTGCCTCCCATCAGTGGCGCGTGCCTCGTGCGCAGCCTCGCCAAGCCAAAGTCCAGAAGCTTCGCCCTCGGCACGGCGCGGTCGCCCAGGCGCGGCTCCACGAAGACGTTCCCGTCCTTGAGGTCGCCGTGCGCCACGTGCGGCCTGCGCGAGTGCAGGTACCGCAGCGCGCACGTCACGTCCACCAGCACCTGCAGACGCTCCACTTCCCCGGGGGGGCGTGCCGCGGGCAGCACGAACTTGTGGAGGGGGACCCCCTGCACCAGCTCCAGGACCAGGGCTACGTTGCAGCTCTGCTCGTCCAGGACGGCCCCGTACATGAACACAATGTTCGGGTGCCGAAGCTTCCGGAGAATCTGCAGCTCGTTGCACAGCTCAACCGCGTTGACATTACTCGAAAGACTACATTCGTTGACCTTGGGAACCTTGATTGCCACAGAGATTCCCTGATAACGGCCCAGGAGAACTCTTCCGAAGCCACCCTCTCCAAGCACGCGCCCTGGTACCACGCCCAATTCATCACGACTGATTACCCATTGCTCCCTCTCGCCGACCAGCGCTATGTCTCGTAGAGTAGTCGGGGTGATCTCCGTCCTGTCAAGCGGCATAAACTTACGTGCTGATTGCGTGGTGGACTGCACGGATTCGGGAACTGATGGGGCAGACGGGACGCTGCCAGCGAGATGCCCGCCAGCTGCCTGGAAGTTCGACAGCTGGAACTCCGACTGGAAGCGGAGGGACTTCTCTCTGATCAGAGACGCGAAATAATGCCTCTCCTGGCGCTCCAGGATGTGCTTGCCCATTGCTGCCATCACTATCAGGCCGAGCAGGGACGACGAAAACTGCACGAAATTGTCCATCTCTGGGCTGCCGAGGATAAGCGCCGGAATCACATAGCAAATCAAACCGCATACCTGAATTGGAATCATGTAGCGAAATCGCACGTTGAGCGCCATGTGGCTTGCTGTCACGAAAGCGTCGATCGATAGCAACAGTCCCGTGTCTGTGATGTGTCGGCCCTCCAGGTAGAGCTCCGAGTCGTAGCCCAGCACTCGGCCCGTGTAGAATGGCAGGCCGGCGGTCACAAGCACCATCCCGATGCACGTGAGAGTCACCGAGAGAATCTCCAAGGCCAGGGTGCTGCTGACTCTCCCAGTGCGCAGGAGCAGGCAGCAGGCGGCGAAGGACAGGGTGGCAAGCCCCACGCACGAAGCGAACGCCAAGTTCGACGCCTGCATGATGTGCGCCTGCTGCCTGCTGGCATTTTCGCTGGTATCCCACGGCCTCTGCATCGCCAGGGACATGCCGACGACAACTGCGATGCACAGGCTGCAGGCAGCAAGGCTGCGAAGCAGCCCCGTCCGGCGCCCACTGGCGAAGCCGGCCTCCAGGCCGTCGTCCTCGAAGCGCAACGTCAAGCTGTTCATCGCGCCGACGGAATCTCTCGCTGCTCTGCGAATGCCGTTCGACGCTCGTTTGCGACAAAGGCTCCCGAGCAGCACGCTCTGTCTGTATCTCTGTCTGCCCAAGTGCACTGCCATTCTGCCCTGCCCAGCAGGCGCTAGCATGCGGCGCGGAGATGCAGGAGCGGGCGCCTTGCTGCTTGAGCCTGGTCCAGCCCACCTTGAGCCAAAATACGGATGTGAGGGGTATGTCGACATTGGTGTGCGTGACGCATGCGGACGGTGGCACTGGGGCCTTCGGTGGAGCTCCCTATGGGGTCATGAAACGTGTGAGGGGTGTGCCGACATGGGTGTGCGTGACGCATGCAGGGGTGTGCCGAAATGGGTGCGTGACGCATGCGGACGGTGGCACTGGGGCCTTCGATGGAGCTCCCTGTGGGGCCACGAAGCGTGTGAGGGGTGTGCCGAAATGGGTGTGCGTGACGCATGCGGGCGGTGGCACTGGGGCCTTCGGTGGAGGTCCCTGTGATGCCACGAAACGCGTGAGGGGTGTGTCGAAATGGGTGTGCGTGACACACGCGGGCGGTGGCACTGGGGCTTTCGGTGGAGCTCCCTATGGGGCCACGAAGCGCGGTACTGGGTGGGTGAAGCGCAGGGAGGAAGGAGGAGAGGGAGGAGGGGGAGGAGGGAGGAGTGGGAGGAGGAAGAAGGCGGGAAGGAAGAAGAAGAGAACGCAAGGCGCCGTCTCTTCAAAACGAGGACCCAGCACCACAAGATGGTTGGGAACAATTGCTTCACTCGCACGCTGGACGCCAACATTCGGCCATGCAATGTGAAACACCACGCGGGTGACAGGTGTCACCGCGAAAACCGTGTGAGAAAAAACACAACTGTTCAATTCGTATTCTGGACGCCAACGTGGGGCCATACAATGTGAAACAACACAAGGGTGACGCGTGTCACCCCGAAAACCGTGTGATACAAAGCAAATGTTTCACTCGTATTCAGGACGCCAACATGGGGCCATACAATGTGATACAACACACGGGTGACACGCGTCACCCCGAAAACCGCATGAGTAAGAAACAACTGTTTCATTCGTACTCTGGATGACAACATGGGTTACACGTGTCACCCCGAAAACCGCGTGAGAAGAACCAATTGTTTCACTCCTATTCTGGGCGCCAGCATGCGGCCATACAATGTGACACAACACACGGGCGTCACGTGTCACCCCGAAAACCGTGTGAGCCAAACCAGCTGTTTCATTCGTATTCTGGACGCGTGCATGGGGCCATACAATGTGACACAACACACGGGTGACACGTGGCACCCCGAACATCGCGCGAGAAAAAACAATTGTTTCACTCGCCTTCTGGTCGCCAACATGGGGCCATACAATGTGAAACAACACACGGGTGACATGTGCCACCCCGAAAACCGTGTGAGAGAAGCAATTGTTCCACTCGTGTTCTGGACGCCAACATGGGGCCATTCAATGTGAAACAGCACGCGGGTGGCATGTGTCACCATGAAAAACGTGTGATACAAAATAACTGCTTCACTCATAGTCTGGACACCAACATGGGGCAATACGGTGTGAAACAACATACGGGCGACACGTGCCACCCCGAAAACCGTGCGATAGAAATTACCCAGCCGACGTACCCAGCCCCTGCGCAGTGCCTTACAGGAGTAGTTTGGGAGATCTGATGAGATGGCGACGACGCGACATGGACGCACAAACTTCTGCGAGCGGCTTTCGGGAGGTTCGCGGGTCTCCGGTCAAGGGAAAAAGCGTGGCAGAGATGCGTAACTAAAGGAACCCCCGAGTCACTAAGACAAGGTCCGAATGGAGAAGGCGGGCAACAGGCTTGAAGCGTCGGCGGGGCAACAACGACGTGACATGGCGCCCTCGAGCCAACATTCCCACGCGACGACGCATTTTCTGAGCCCGCGGCGGGGCGCCGCTAGGCTGGCCCTCCGCAACTTGGTCCCGCTCAGGCTTGCGATGTGCCTCACTCCGCTGGACACACCAGCAGCCCTCGAAAGTGGCGACAGATTCGCAGATCGCAGCCCCCCACGGACGGCGAGGTCTCGCTCAGGTCTGCGCGGTGCCTCACCCCGCTGGACCCACCAGCAGCTTTCGAAAGTGGCGAGCCCACCAGCAGCCCTCGAAACTGGCGACAGATTCGCAAAATCGCAGCCCCCGAGAGACGGCGAGGTCTCGCTCAGGTCTGCGCGGTGCTTCGCTCCGCTGGACCCATCAGCAGCCTTCGAACGTGGCGGCAATGTCGCAGATCGCAGCCCCCCAAAGACGGCGAAGTCCCGCTGAGGTCCGCGCGGTGCCTCACTCCGCTGGACCCACCAGCAACACTCGAAGTGGCGACAGCGTCGCAGATCGCAGCGCCCCAGAGACAGGGGTGACACGTGTCACCCCGAAAACCATGTGAGAAACACCATTTGTTTCACTCGTATTCTGGGCGCCAACATGGGGCCATACAATGCGAAACAACACGCGGGTGACACGCGTCACCACGAAAACCGCGTGAGACAAATAGTTGTTTCACTCGTATTCTGGGCGCCAACATGGGGTCATACAGCGTGAAGAAGCACGCGGGTGACACGCGTCACCCCGAACACCGTGTGAGAGCCATCCATTGTGTTATTCGCATTCTGGTCGCCAACATGGGGCCATGCAGTGTAAAGCAACACGCGGGTGACACGTGTCACCCCGAATACCGTGTGAGAGAAACTAACTGTTCCACTCGTATTCTTGACGCCAACACGGGGCCTTAAAGTGTGAGGCAACACACGGGTGACCTGTGTCACCCCAACAACTGCGTGGGAAAACACTTCCTGTTCCACTCGCATTCTTGACGCCAACGTGGGGCCATACAGTGTGGAACAGCACACGGGTAACACGTGTCACCCCGACAACCGTGTGAGAACAAACAATTGTTTCAGTCGTAACCTGGACGCCAACATGGGGCCAAACAGTGTGAAACAACACGCGGGTGACACGTGTCATCCCGAAAAACGTGTGCGGAAAAACAACTGTTTCACTCGTGTTTTGGGCGCCAACATGGGGTCATGCAGTGTGAAGCAACACACGGGTGACACGTGTCACCCTGGAAAAAAAACGATTGGGAAAGCACAGTAGTTCCACACGTAGTCTGGACGCCAACATGGGGCCAAAACATGTGAAACAACACACGGGTGGCACGTGTCATCCCGAAAACCGTCGGAGAAAAAAACACGTTGTTTCACACGTATTCTGGACGCCGGCATGGGGCCACAAACTGTGCAACAACACACGGGTGACTCGTGTCACACCGAAAACCGTTTGAGGAAAAAACAATTGTTTCACTCGCGCTCTGGATGTAAACATTTGGCTAGAACACGCGGGTGGCACGTGCCACCCCGAAAACTGCTAAGTGTTTCACCCGTATTCTTGACGCCAACATGGGGCCATACAATGTGAAACAACACACGGGTGACACGCGTCACCCCGAAAACCGTGTGAGAATCACCCATTGTTTCATTCATATTCTGGGCGACAGCATGGGGCCATACAGTGTGAAACAACAAAAGAGAACAACCAGCTGTTCCACTCGTATTCTGGACGGCAACATGGGGCCAAACAGTGCGAAACAACACACGGGTGACACGTGTCACCCCGACAACCGTGTGAGAAAACCAATTGTTCCACTCATATGCTGGACGCCAAGATGGGGCCATACAGTGCGAAACAACACGCGGGTGGCACGTGTCACCCCGAAAACAATGTGAGCAACACTTCCTGTTTCACTCGTATTCTGGGCGCCAACATAGGGTCATACAGTGTAAGCTCCAACGCGCGCCCCGCAAGGAACAGGGGGGCCCGAGAGATAAGCTGGACCTTAACGCGACCACCCTTGCAATATGTAGAGCCAGTGAGCTCCGAACCGCGCGGCCTAAGGAACGGGAGTGCTCCAGCGAGAAACTGGACCTTAATGCCCCAACATTGGCACGCGGATAAAGGCGAAAGCTCCAACGCGCGCTCCGCAAGGAACTGGAGGGCCCGAGAGAGGCGCCGGGCTTGTGCGCGACCGCCGTCGCACTACGTCGAGCAAGCGCAAGGAATCGAGCCCCTCTTGGAGCCCCGTTTCTTAGACCAGCCGCCCTCATCGACAAAACGAACCCGCGCGTCCAAAATCTGAATTGAACACCAGGGGGGCTCGCCGCCAAAAAGGTAGCGGAACGCATGCAAACCTGAGGAACGACCGAGCCCCTTTCGAAAAGTATGTCTTCCTTCTTCAAGCCGCTCACTGTACTCCACCACATCGCCGCGCCAAAGAAGAACTGCTGGGGCGTTCTCCCGGGGATGGACAGAACCCCCTATGGCAAAACGTTGTTTAGTGAAAACGACCTAGGGCCCACACCTGGCGGGCGCAGGCCTGGAGAATGATCGCCGCGGGCGCCCTCTCGAGAAACGAAGACGGACAATTCACTGATCGACGTGTCAGGGTGGGGGTTCTGTCCACCCCCGACTCTCCCCTTTTAGCGTATGCCCTCCAACCTGGAAGATCGGGGATCCTGGAAGTCTTTGCCCCCTCGCGGGCCTCCCCAATCTTCTGGAGGCCTCTGGGGACGTCCGGTGGTCAGGATCCTCGGAGGCAGCAGCATTTACCACCAGCCCCTTCCCACGGCCAGAGAAGGGCCACATCGCACTGCCGAAGAGTCAACAACGTGCGACTCGCTACTGCTCGTGCCGACTGCATGCGACAGGAGCGTCACAGAAGCATACACCAGAATCGACGGAGTTGAAGGGGCCCTGGGACACACAAATAAATATACACACAAATAACAGGACTCCCCATCTTTTCGAATATTTACCGGGTTTTGTCTTCCCCCCACTTCCCATATTTTCCCATCTTTTCCTGGGAGTCGACGATTAATTGTGTCTGTGTTCCCTACCTAGGCTCTGCCTAGAAGGGTTCTTACTCGGTATGCTTAAAGGGCCGGGCAGTGCAACTCGCCCCGGGCGGTTCCCCCAGTATCCGCCCCGCGGTTCCCCCAGTTACGTCCCCTTAGCTTAGCGTTGCGTATCTCATCTTAGCTTAGCTTATTTCATCTCAGCTTAGCTCCATCTTAGCTTAACTTAGCTTCATATAGATGTTGTTTTCCTAGATCCTCCAACTCCTAGGTAGGGTCGCACTGGGATAATTTGTTTTCCTCCTGAGGAGTCCCAGACCAGCAATCTCGCCCGTGGACGCACGGGAAGCCCGAGAGGGAGGAAACAGTGACGGTGCCTGGTCCACGGGATCCGCCCCCAAAGTGGTGCCCGTGAGCAGACGTTGACCATGGGAGGATCGCACCGTCCTGCCGAAGGTTTTACAGTTTTTTTGGTTCGAGGAATTCTGGATTCTTCCTGAGGAAGGTTTCAGGAAATTGTTTTTGAAGTTTCCTCGAATTCTGGATTCTTCCTGAGGAAGGTTTCAGGAAGTTGTTTTTGAAGTTTCCTCGAATCCTGGATTCTTCCGGAGGAAGGTTTTAGGAATATGTTAGGCGGGCGGCGGGCGGGCGGGCGGGCGGCGGGCGGGCGGGCGGCGGGGCAAGGCGCGACGACGTGTTCCAGCTCACGCCGCATCGCCGATGCAGCCGCGATCCTCCGATCCTGTCTGCTCTGGCCCTGCTTGGGCGGCCTGGGCGCTGTGCACGCGGCATGAAGGAAACCCGTCCTGGAGGCAAGAGGTCCTGGAAAATACTAGCCGCTTGCGGGCCACCAGGACCTCCTCCTCCTCCTCCTCCTCCTCCTCCTCCTCCTTGCTCCTCCTCCTTCCTCCTCCTTCCTCCTCCTTCTCCTCCTTCTCCTCCTTGCTCCCCCTTCTCCTGCTCCTCCTCCTCGTCCTCCTCCTGCTCCTTCTCCTCCTCCCTCCTCCTCCTCCTTCCTCCTCCTTGCTCCTCCTCCTTCCTCCTCCTTCCTCCTCCTTCTCCTCCTTGCTCCTCCTTCTCCTGCTCCTCCTCCTCGTCCTCCTCCTGCTCCTTCTCCTCCTCCCTCCTCCTCCCTCTCCTCCTCCTCCTCCTCCTCCTCCTCCTCCTCCTCCTCCTCCTCCCTCCTCCTCCTCCCTCCTCCCTCCTCCCTCCTCCCTCCTCCTCCCTCCTCCTCCTCCTCCTCCTCCTCCTCCTCCTCCTCCTCCTCTCCTCCTCCTCCTCCTCCTGCCCCCTCCTCCCCCCTCCTCCTCCTCCTCCTCCTCCTCCTCCTCCCCCCTCCTCCTCCTCCTCCTCTCCTCCTCCTCCTCGTCCTCCTCCTCCTCCTCCTGCCCCCTCCTCCCCCCTTCTCCTCCTCCTCCTCCTCCTCCTCCTCCTCCTCCTCCTCCTCCTCCTTGGAGGAGGAGGAGGAGGAGAAGGAGGAGGAGAGGGAGGGGCGCAGATCATGGCCGGGGACGTATCGAAATCAGAGAGGAGGCGCCACGAATCCGGGGAGCTATCCCCGCCCACGCCACGAGACCCACCTCCCCTCATCATCACCCCCCTCTTAGGCCGCCCCCGAGGGGCCGCGGGGTCCTGGGGGGGGAGGCTCTGGGGCCTGGGATCCGCTTTTCGTCGCGTCTCGGTTCCTGACTACCTACCAGACCACCCCAACCCAACCCGAAGACCCGAATTTGACCCCAATTTCGGGTTGGGGGGGTACGGGTTCCATGTGTTTTTTCAACGTTCCTCGACCCCCCCCACTGGAAATGGAGGGCAAATTGAGGGCTTCGGGTTGGGTTGGGGTGGTTTGGTGGGTGGTGAGTTCCTGCTGAGGCAACGTGGACCTGACCTGGGCTCGCCTCGCGTCGCATTGCACGCCCTGCCTGCCTGCCTGCCTGCCTGCCTCTGTGGTCCGGGGTCTCTGGCCAGCAGCACCTAGGCCTCGGGCCCGTTTCGGCCCGCGCGGGTCGGAGTCCTGCCATGTGGGTCCAATCAGTGTTGCACTGCCTCCCGCAGGGGGGGGATCGCTTTCCCGCCCACGGAGCGTGATGGATTGCTTCCTGCAGGGACTGCTGTATTACCTCGCGCAGGGAGGATAGCATTGCCTCCCGCAGGAGGTGGCGCACTGCCTCCTGCCTACTGCGGAGCCGCCTGGGCCAGATTTCGTTTCACCCCGTTGCTCGACATCGCCTCTCAGCACCAATCCTTACCTACTGTCCGAGTATGCCACTGACACACGCGCGGGAAATGATCGACGTCGTCGGCCTTCGGGCGTGCCAAGAGCGGGGAGCAAGAGGTCTTCGGGCCCCTGCGGGGCGGCAAATCCAGGACCGGCTTAACAATATTGCCTTACAAGCACGGGTCGTAGACCAGCGAGTCTCGTAAGGGCGGCTAGCAGACCCCTCCGCTTAACCAGGGCGTCGACCAGCAGATATTTGAAAAGAGCTCCTGACGAAAGCAGTTCTTGTAGCTGCGCCAGGCTATAAGAGGTGCACCTCGGTGCGGGTAAGAGGCAGAACCTCAGGACAGCCTGGACGGACTGGACCCATGGCCACCATGCGACTGGGGATCTTGCTCACCACGGGCACTTTCTGCTCCGCACAGTAATCGTCCTAGCTGAAACCAGACTGCTTGCCCCATCTTTTCGCTGACGGCTTCAAGAGCTGCTCCGTGCCCGCTGATCACGAACTGATTCCCCCCTACGTAGTCCGCTCCGTAAAAGAAGAGGATGTCGAGGTATCCTTGAGTTGAAGATCTCCCCGTTTGCAAGACCAACCATCATCCAAATAAGAAGCTGTGCATCCCTCGCACTACCGACCACGGTGTATGATTTAGTTTGGGAGGTCGCATGCTCATAATCTACTGCTCAGAACACCAGCATACTTTGCTAAGTCGAGAGCTGATATCGAACGTCAGATGTCATACTCTGCCAGAAGCTGCAGATATCGACCTTACCACGCTGACAAATTGTTGCCAGGTGACCCCCAAGCAATGAGTTTGTGGGCCCCTGGTTAGGGGAACTATGTGATGCAAGCCCAGCGGTCCAATATACGCGGTGGAAGCTAGGTGGTGCAAGCTGTGTGATGCAAGCTATGTGGTGCAAACTATGCGGTGCTATACTTGTGGAGCGAGCTATGCGGTGCAAGCTATGTGCTGCAAACTGCGTAGTGCAAGCTATATGGCGTAAGCTATGCGGTGCAAGCCGTGTGTTGCATGACCCGTGGTGTAAGCTGTGGCGTGCAAGCACTCCGGTGTGAGCGTGAGCTATATACAGGGGCAGCCTGTGCGGAGGCAGGCTATGCGGTACGTATCTGTGTGTGTGTGTATAGGTCGACACGTGCATTCCCCGATCAGTGCTTGCACTAGGGGCTCTTGCGCCCATGCCCGCTCGTGGGCGCCCCCGTGCGCGGGGTGGGTCTGTCGAGGACTCGTTGCGCTGCCGCTCGTGGCCGCTGCATGGATGCCTCGTGGACGGCCCGCGGACGGCCGCATGGCTTGCACCACGTAGCCTGCACGGCGTCGACTACACCACACAGCTTGCACCACTTCGTTGATACACCCTGCGAAATGCTTAAGAAATCATGGGTCAAGGAATTCATGATCTCAGAACTTGAATAAAAAAAACCCAACATTTCCATTCGAGTCTTAGGATTTACATTGAAACATTAAGCATAATCGAGACTCTGGCCGAAAACTGAAGTTTTCTTAAGCATCGCCTAAGGTGTACCACGCATGCTGCGCCGCCTGGCAAGCATCGCCTAAGGTGTACCACGCATGCTGCGCCGCCTGGCTTACACCACATGTAGCTGGCGCCACATAACACAGCGTAGCTGACACCACATAGGTCGCACCGCACTGCTTACGCCGCCCAGCATCACCACAGATTTGGCATGATATAGCCTGCACCATACGTCTTACACCACATCGACTGTGCCGCGTGTATTGCACACTGCAGCAACCCACTGGTTGGGGTCCATGCGGGCAAACATGTATGTGTAGACAACATGCATGGATGCATGTATGGTGTAAGCTATCTGGTGCAAGAGATACGTGATGTATTCGGTGCAAGCTGTGTGATGCAAGCTGCACGGTGAAAGCTAGGCGGTAGAAACTCTGCGGTGCAAATTCCGGGGTGCAACCTGTGCAGTGCACTCGAAGCGCCATCCAGCGCACGGAGCGCCTACGGGCGCCGACCAGATGGAAACTTCGAGCTCCCGGCGACGGGCGCCCACCAGGCGAAAACCCGGAATTGCCAGCCAACACGTGGCGCACACGAGGCGGCAACGAGCGCCCACGAGGCGAACACCCAGTCGGATTAGGTGTTCGCCTGGTGGGCAAAACGCGAAATCAGAAGAGAACATCTCCAAGAAGTCACAGCGCGATAACGCAAGCCTTTCAAAGGATCTCAAAAAGGAAAGATCAATATCAACAACTTTCGATACGACTCACTGCTGTTGGTCAGAGGTGACCAATCCCAGTCAACCCCAGGCGCCCACCAGGCGGCCAGGGGCGCTGGCAATGCGGAAAGCCTGGACTCCCAGCCAGCTCCTTGCGCTCAATGCAAGCACTGCTTGCCGTCCATGTTGATTTTGAGTGTGAAGTCTGCATGACAATTCGAATGGCATTGATGGATGCGCTCACTTTTACCGTCCACATGTCTTTAATCAGACTGCGAATGTCTGAACCCTCACGTGAACGCCTACATGGAACAAATCAAGCTATTGAAATCACTTCGAATCGTTACTGGCATCTGGTACAACTGGGATCCCCGCCAGAGCCATCGCGACTTCCCCCTCAGGATACTCGTAGTCCACCAACTTCCCCTCGTTATACGCGGTCCAAGCCGTCATGTCGAAATGCCCGTGGCCGCACAGGTTGAAAAGAAGCACCTCGCCAGGCTTCGCTTTCTTCGCCTCGCGGACGCACCCCGCTATTGCGTGGTTCGCCTCCGGCGCTGGCAAGATGCCCTCGGTTTTCGCGAAGAGCGCGCCCATCTCGAAACACTCGGACTGCGGGATTGCCTCTGCGGTCAGGTACCCGAGCTCTTTCAGATGGGAAATCAGCGGGGCCATCGCGTGGTAGCGCAAGCCGCCAGCGTGCGCGGACGGGGGCATGAACGTGTGGCCGAGGGTGTGTGACTTGATCAGCGGCGTCATCTGCGCGGTGTCGCCGAAATCGTACGCGTACTTGCCTTTCGTCAGGCTCGGGCAGCTCGCTGGCTCCACTGCGAGCACACGGAAATTCGGCTTTCTCGCCTCCTTGCGGAACTTCTGCCCGAGGAATGGAAAACACAAGCCCGCGAAATTGGAGCCGCCGCCAGTGCATCCGATCAACACATCAGGATACTCGCCGGCCAACGCCATCTGCTCGATCGCCTCCAGGCCAGTCACAGTCTGGTGCATCAGAACGTGGTTGAGGACGGAGCCCAGGCAGTACTTATTCTCCTGCACGGTCGCAGCGCACTCAACAGCCTCGGAAATCGCTATGCCGAGAGAGCCCATGCACTGGGGATCGCGCTCCAATATCTTCTTACCGCACTCGGTGCGCTGAGAGGGTGACGGGTAGCACTGTGCACCAAACGTCTCCATGAACGCACGGCGGTACGGCTTCTGATCGTAAGAAACCTTTACCTGATATACTTCGACGTCGATGTCGAATTGCTTCCCGGCAAAAGCCAAAGAACATCCCCACTGTCCCGCACCTGTCTCCGTGACCAGCTTCTTCACCCCCTCCTGTTTGTTGTAGTACGCCTGCGGTACCGCCGTGTTCGGCTTGTGTGATCCTGCAGGGCTTACGCCCTCGTATTTGTAGAAGATCTTAACCCCCGGCTTGCACAATCCCTCCTTCACCAGTGCCCTCTCGAACGCGAAGGCTCTGAACAGCGGAGAAGGACGCCAAATCTTGTACACCTCTCTCACCGCATCGGGAATCGGAATGTACCTTTCCTGCGAGACTTCCTGCATGATCAGGGCCATCGGGAAGAGCGGATCCAGGTCTGGCGGGCCCACTGGTTGCTTGGTCCCAGGGTGAAGAACTGGCGGC